GCAGCCTGCCCTATATACCTCAGCCCCTGAACCCCTACCCTCAGCCTTATCCCTGAGCCCAGTCCCATCCCACCACGGTCTCTTCATTTCCTCAACTCCTTAGCTTTACCCTCACCACAGCCCTTAAGCCTCTAGAACGTGGAGGCTAGAATATATAACAGGAGCTAGAGCATTTGTCAGAAGCCAGCATACTTGTAGAGCTTCCCCTCACAGAGTCTTTGGTCCCTTAACAGGCAGATACGACGATAACCCACATCACAGCCTTTGATCCTGACAGCACTGGGCAGCAGGTGTGGCAGGATCTACTTCAGGATGGACAGCTGGACTCCCCTGCTGGTGATGGGGGTGTCTAACAGGGAGGTGGCAGGAAGAGAGGCTGTCCCTGTCTTAGGAGCAGGTTGGGGGGCCTGGTAATGAATAAGCCTTGTTCCCATGTTAGGGACCCCTGGGGCTGAAGGGGGTGCCTGTGCTGATTTCTCTTGTGCTTCTCTCAGGCCGAAGCACCCCCTCACAGAAGGGGGTAGGCATTGCTGGGGCTGTATGTGTTACAGGCAAGTTGCCACCTCGAGGCCAGTGCTGCCTGGAGTTCTCACTGGCTTGGGACATGCCCAGAATCATGTTTGGAGCTAAGGGCCAGGTCTACTACAGGTGAGGGGACCAAGAGAGTACAGGGATCCAGGGTGCTAGGGCTCGGACCTGGAGCCCATGGTCTCATCCCTCCTCTTTGTTTCCATCCCAGGCGGTATACAAGGTTCTTTGGCTCAGATGGTGATGCAGCACCTGCCCTTAGCCACTATGCACTGTGCCGATACACAGACTGGGAAGAAAGGATCTCAGCTTGGCAGAGCCCAGTGTTGGATGACAGGTGCCAGTGCAGCCCATCTCTTGCCTTTCTCCCAGGCACTCCAGCTATGACTCCTTGATTCAGTCTCCATCCACCAAAATCAGCGGAGTTGGGCTGGGAATCACAAGGTGCCCCCATTCTGAACTCCGGAATCCTTCCTTTCCTGTCCTGGGAGGTCCACACTCATTAGACCATTCCTTCCTCCTGGCTCCCCAGATCCTTGCCTTCCTGGTACAAATCTGCACTGTTCAATGAACTATACTTCCTGGCTGATGGAGGGACAATATGGCTGGAAGTTCCTGAGGACGCCCTACCAGAGGAGCTAGTGGGGAACATGTGTCAGCTCCGCCCCATCCTACAGGAGTATGGTCGATTTGGCTACCTTGAAGGTACGGGCTGCCAGTGGGCCATGGCATGGCAGGCTGTGTCTGCGAGGCCAGTTAGTGCCCTATTACCAGGCAGGATGACAGGTGTTGTCAACCCCAGGGTATTGGTTGGGATGAGGGGGTAAATGGCAGATATGGGGTGTAACTGCCCCACCCAGAAATCTAGAGGACAAGCTAGAGAGAATACGAAGGGGAAGCAGGAATTATGGCAACAGTGTGTCTCCCTCATTCCTCCAGGCCAGGAATATCGCATGTACAACACATATGATGTCCATTTCTACGCTTCCTTTGCCCTCATCATGCTCTGGCCCAAACTTGAGCTCAGCCTACAGTATGACATGGGTGAGGGTCTCTTTTGTGCCCCTTCTGCTTAGCTCCCAACACCTCTAAACTTTTGTGGTCCCTCAGATGGTCTCTTCTCCCTTCCCCCAAACATATCTACATCCTGTTTATTGGTTCCCCTCTGGGGTTACATGCACAGCTCTGTGCCCTATCCTGCCTCTATTCCCTGCATACACACACACTCCCATTTGTGTGTCTGCTCCCCTAGCTCTGGCCACACTCAGGGAGGACCTGTCATGGCGACAGTACCTGATGAGTGGGGTAGTGGCACCTGTGAAAAGGAGGAACGTCATTCCCCATGATATTGGGGACCCAGGTAAAAGTCCCTCCACCTCAACTTCCCTCCTTCAATTTTTGCACCCTCTACCCTACCCACCAATGCAAATAGACCAGGTTCCTTTCTCTCCTGCAGATGATGAGCCATGGCTCCGGGTCAATGCATACATGATCCATGATACTGCTGACTGGAAGGACCTGAATCTGAAGTTTGTGCTGCAGGTTTATCGGGACTATTACCTGACGGGTGACCAGGGTTTCCTGAGGGACATGTGGCCTGTGTGTTTGGTAAGGGATGCATGTAGAGTGGACAGTGTGCCAGGGGATGACAGGTGTTTGGGGAGAGCCCAGTTGGCTATTGTCTTTCCTTAGTATCTAGGTCTTAAGCATCTTGATCCTTCTCTAGGCCGTGATGGAGTCTGAAATGAAGTTTGACAAGGACCAAGATGGACTCATTGAAAACGGAGGCTATGCGGACCAGACCTATGATGCATGGGTCACCACAGGCCCCAGGTTGGTGGGGGGTGGGGGGGTGTGAGGGAGTAGGGGTTTTCAGGGGGCCTGAGGTAGGGAACTGGGCACCAAGGGATTGTAGGCTCAAGGAAAAGTGAACTCATTGTTACATTGCATGGGAGTAGCTGAAGCTACCAGTCTGACCCTTAAACCTGTGTCCTTGATCAGTGCTTACTGTGGAGGACTGTGGCTGGCAGCTGTGGCTGTGATGGTCCAGATGGCTGCGCTGTGTGGGACACAGGACATCCTCGATAAGTTTTCTTCCATCCTTAGCCGGGGCCGAGAAGCCTATGAGAGACTGCTATGGAATGGTGAGTTGAGGGATCCTAAGTCTTCAGGCAGCTATGGGGACACAAGGAGCTTTACTTTGCCCTTCCTCCACTCCAGGACACTATTACAACTATGACTGCAGCTCTCAACCTCAATCCTATAGCATCATGTCTGACCAGTGTGCTGGCCAGTGGTTCCTGAGGGCTAGTGGCCTAGGAGAAGGAGACACTGAGGTGAGAGACTAGGAAGAGGAACCAGAAAGGTGGGTTTTTCCTGGAGGTATGAAGCAAGTTTAAGAGACCATGTTTCTGCCTTTGCTCCTCTAGGTATTTCCTACCCCACACGTGGTCTGTGCTCTCCAAACTATCTTCAAGTTCAATGTCCAGGCATTTGCAGGAGGGGCCATGGGTGCTGTAAATGGGATGCAGCCCCATGGTGTCCCTGATAGATCCAGTGTTCAGTCTGATGAAGTCTGGGTAGGCGTGGTATATGGGCTGGCAGCTACCATGATCCAGGAGGTAATGCACTCCCTTCCTCATCTCTCTACCATCTGTACCTTGGCCCAGCACTCTTTCTCAGCCATCAAACTTTTGTGCAGACTAACCTTATGTCATCCTATCCACCCATAAAACCTCCCCTTTTCTTTAGCGTGCGTTCCATCTCCTGCCTTGTCTTTTGCCTGTGGGTCAAGTTTATCTCCCCTTCCAGCTGGGAACTGCCAGAAGGCAGAGACCCTATTGTCTCCATCTGTCCAGCTGAAATGGCTATTCAGGGGTTGCCAACTAATGTGACTACCA